AAGAAGAACCCAGCCCTGACGCAGCTCCCGCGCCAACGGGACGGCGCGCGCCCCGTGCGGGCGGACCACGCTCACCTCCAGCGAGCGCTCGGCGATGCGGTCCATCGGCGAAGACGGTGCGCAGGGCGGCGCAGACGGCGGCACGCACGGCCGCGTCCCGGTGACTGGTGTGGGGCACCAGCGCCGCCACCAGGTTCGAGGCGAAGTTGAAGTCGCGGAAGCGCACCAGGCACTGGCACAGGCAGTCCAGGCAGAACACGGCCAGGCCCTGCGGACGAGACGGGTGGCACGATGGTCAGCAACGCCGGAGGACTTACGATTGCCGCTGTAGTCATCACTGCTGTCATTATGGCTTTACGATGCAATTAGCTGCTGAGGCTGCATGGTGTCGCCTGTCCTCTCGCCCTTGCAGGAAGGGTGGGCACCGCGAGGAATCCAGCCCCGTGCCTCTGATTTCCCCAGGCGCACAGCCTAACCTAACTATCGGCACCCCTCTTGTCATTACTGTATTAACACGATGCAGAAGGATGATTCGGCCTCAAGCTCTGTCCAGCGACGTACGACGGAATAAGTCCATCTGGCAATGCCACGGAACAATGCCGCCGTGGCGGCGTGACCCGCTCCGAGGTGCGGTACGCCACGGCGGCAGCCAATCAGGGGCGGCGTCACAGCCTGGTCGGGTCAGCTCTAGTTCGCGTCGAAGCAGACCATTGGCGGGTGTCGTGACCTACCTCACCGCGCCGCGGGGTCACGCCGTCACTGCACCACCGTCAGCAGCTCAGCCAATGCTTACCTTCAACGGCGCCTGGTCGGAGCTCAGTGCCTTTGTGTACTCCTCCAGCTTGATGAGGTACTTCTTGTAGCCGTTGACGAGCCCGTTCTCATACTTGTACACGGCGATCGTGTCCTTCTTCAGGCGCTCCGTCATGTCGTGCTCCTGCAGCCGGTAGGAGGGCAGCAGGTCTTTGAACACCTCCAGCAGCGAGGCAGGCCGCGTACTTCCGCACCGTCACCATCACGGCCGGGTCCGACTCGGACAGCAGATCCAGCAGGACGGTGCAGGTTGTCGTACTGAAACGGCCGACACGGATGATAACAGCGCCACACGGTAGCGGACACGGCCGGTCGCTGCAAGCGTCTCGATGCACTCGGTTTATCAAGATCTGTAATTACAGAACAACTCGGTCTATCAAGAGGATCCGACCCCGCTCCGTACGGCGTCAAGATCACACCAGCCCCGACTGACTACACCTGGCTGCCAAGACGTGTGAGCACAGCTGTCTACTGACGCAGCGTGACCGCCCGGCCTGCTCTGCCAGGTGCTCGCCGCACAGTCTGCCCAGTCGGACCCGCTGGCGAGGCACGCCCGGCCCCAGCCAAAAGCCAGTGGCCAGCCCGCGCCAGCCGACAGCCGACTCGCCTTCTCCTGGGGCGCCTCCAGGAGCGCGCGCGACAGCAGACCCGATGCGAAGCTTGGCGGCGTCGATTTTGGATCGTCGTTCGGCGAAGAGTTCAGCCACGCTCCTGACGCCGTCGGCAGGCGGGCCGGCTAGCGCCGTCGCCTCCTCCTCCTGCTCCTGCTCCTGCTCGGCGGTCTCCTCCTCTGGTGGACAAGCCACCGGCGCCGCGTCAGTCACGCGACAGAGACGAGACGCACGTGGTCAGATATTGCCAGAGGCGGGCAGGCGAAACTAGGGCCACACTGAAGCGACATGACATCGGAATGCAATATTGAATCGACGGTGGAATATGGAAATGACATGGAGAACAAAACACAGTGTAATGGGATATGGACCGTGGAGTAAATTACCTACAACAAATATAGCATTACGTACTATACCATGCTTTACACTACGGTGACATCACCTTATTGCAGTCTCCACGATGCAGGTGGCAAACTAAATGTCTGCAAACACGCTGGTATATGACAGACTACCTGACTTGTAGCAAAATGTACCGGCTCACCCTTTTGCACCAGCATTTTGCGCTTTACAACGCCCTTCTTGGTCTTGATCGGCAGCAAATCTCGGACGACGGGGAAGGCACGGGGCGTTTTCTCGTATGCCATCTCCACATCGGCGTCCGAGGAATCCTCGTCGTCAGAGTGGGCGGGCTTCCGTTTCCTCCTGGACGCGTCGCTGGGCACCGCGTCACGCTTGCGCTTCCCAGCTGCCTCGGTTCTGTCGACACCATCAGTTACGCGTCACGCCCTCCTAAAGGGAAGTGCACATCAAGGCAAAATCCAAACGTCCGATGAGGTTTACTGTGCAATCGTAAATACAATCTGATCCCTTCGGACACATCATCGCATTTGGCATCCCGGCCTGGCCCATCGCAGCACACAATTCATGGACAATCGTATTGTGGCTGGTGAGAACTGTACTGTACCATACGGCAAATGGGACATGACAACTACGGAGATGTGGTACCCACCCGAACACGTCAATTTATGCACTACTCGGGAAACGATGCCGTACACCGTGCTGCCACTCTTTTCAGGAAAATAGCGTAGCGGACTTACTCATCGGCTGCATCCTCAATGAGAGACATGCGTCCACGTTTGGCTGCCTTGATCAGGTGTTCCAAGCCTTCGGTGTCTATTCTGGCTGGGCCGTTCTCTGTGGGGTCAGGATGCACGTTTATCAATATTACCACCACATCATGACTTGTAAAAACACCTAAACGATTATGGGGCCTGCTTTAAGCCTAACCCATCCAGTCGCAAGGAGAAATCCATAACGCACTTTTGTGAGCAGGTGATAATCTAAGAACCATCAGTGTAGCCATACATGCATGCACACTGCTACGCAAATGTATTCAAACACTTTACTTTGAGCTCCGAGCATGTAATCACACCACATTATCTGACTTATGGCGCACCCTCTTCAGCATCTTATGCAGCAACCAGACATGTTATGGAAGGTGACGACATGCCCTGCGTCCGACACAGGCACTGCCGGACCGCCGTCACCACAGCGTCAGAAGCCCCACCTGCGGCCGGCTCGTCCCCACTGTCGGCGCGCGTCCGGCCCGCCGAGGGGACCGACATGCCCAGCGAGCGCCGCAGGTCCCGGATCCTCTGGTGCCGCTCATCCATGTCGTTGTCCACCGACGCCGGCGGACGGGCCTTGGGCTTCTGCGGCCCACTCTTCTGGACGGGGTTTGGCCGTCCGCCACCTGCCACCTTGTGCTTCCTGCCTTTGCCCATCGCTGAGGGCTTCTTTGACTTTGTCACAGCTTGCTTTTTCGGTTTCTTTTTCATCATGTTGTAGTTGTGTTACACTCTGGAAATAAACGTTGTCTTGTAAAAGACATGGCAAAACGCACATTATGTTGTAGTTGTGTTACACTCTGGAAATAAACGTTGTTTTGTCAAAGACATGGCAAAAGACACAACGTCTTTGGTGGCGTTACAGAGTAACAACTTCCAAATCGGCCTGAGCCTGTTTACCCTCACGGTTACACAATGTTCTGTCTCGAAACCACGCTTACCGTTCACCTGGCATTAAACAGAAATGTCAGGTCACGAAATTGTTGTGAGTACCTAATGCGCATCATTGCTAAAAACACCAAAAAAAACTATCTTAACTAACATCAGGTGCAACCAATGTGAATTCGTATTGGTCTGCACGCACACAACACACCAAACACCAAACATCCCAAGTGAAAACTGCACTCGACCATGAGATGCGTCAGGCATTACGGCGTTTCCAGTGCATCGGAACAACGCCGGCACAAAAATCTCAGGGTGATACTCGACGTAAGGTCGCGCACCAAGCAAAATACTGTGTACCTGCCGACATACAGCGCCGTCTCGCCTTGCGACGAAACCTAAGAGCACCAGGTCGCGATTACAGCACTGCGCACTGTGCAGCTCGTACGTACCGTATTGGAAAGTCACAAAAACAGCCGAGAATCAACGGTTCATAAGTCTCGTTGGCCGAGATCACCGAGACCTTGGCGAGTTACAACGTTGCTACGCTCCGTAAAACATGGTTCCTTTCTTTGAACATTTATATTTTAGCATAGCCTGTGCAAGGAAATCAATTGAGCATGTCACCTTTGGGAACCTCACAGGTAAGACTTAGGGCATTGACATATTTCACTTTTGTAAGTTTGGCAGGCAAAGGTGGACTGATGTTTAGCATCGTCAAACTAGAAATATGTGGTTGGAACAATGACTTGCTTTGGGCTTGCCAGTCTGTGAAGACCTCACAGTTTCAATGGAAAAGATAAATGACATTGATGTAGTTTACAGGTTTGGTGACTGTAACAAAAGCATGGGGAAAAACGCAAATACTTGGAGAATAGAATGACTATAGGCCACGATACACTCAGCTACGCCGTGATGTCAGTTCTATGGCCCGTATTAGGTGAATTCCAAGGCCCATGGTACACGTTCTTTTTCTAGTTGCAGCTTTCCTTCCTTGCATGGTCTGCTTCCAATTTCTCAGTCTGCATGCCACGCCTGTGACCTTAAGCCTTAAGCTTCCCTGCAATGTTAAGATAATCACATAAAAGCCATTGTGGATGGAATCCTTGTAGGTTGAGTGGGATGGAATCCCTTGCCATATGGCAATAGCGCAGGCAGGAGGAGAGGCACGGGAGACGCCCCCCCCCCCCCCTCCATAGATACAGGGGGGCCCTCGGAACCTACCGTTAATGGCTTGATTTGATGGTCCGAAGGGCCCGAAAGGCCCGCCGGAGGTCTCATTCAGGGGCCCGGCCCGCAGGGCCGGGAATTCCAAAGCCAGCCAGAGGGCCCTGCGCACTGATCAAGGGCCCACTGAGCCAATAAGTGCCTATATTTCGGTCAGACACAACCATTAACGCACGGTCGGCCCCTTGGCGGCATGGACCTAAGGGCCTATCTCTCAAGGGAAGACAAAGCCGGAGCCAGCTATTTGCATTGCCCGGGGCCCCACAGCGCGTAACAGGGGCCCTGTGTTGTCAAGGGACCCGAGTCGGTCAGACGCAGTGTTCGAGGAGGCCTGAAGAGCCTAGAGAAGAGTCTTAAGAAGAGTCTTATTCGGGGGTCCCGACATGCGGCGACGGATTCTCAAATAACGGTCAGAGGGCCCTTTGCGCCCATCGGGGACCCCCTGAGTCCATATGGGCCTTTATGTCGGCCAGGTACCACCGTACCACATAGTCGGTTCCGTGTCAATACAGGAATGAGGACCCATTTCCCATTCAGCTATAAAGCCGGGGCCAGTGATTTACACTAGTCTCGGGTCTTGTATCTGTCAGGGCCAGCCCCTAGCAGAAGGCCCTGTACTCGCAAGGGCCCCGAGCCGATAAAGGGAAGTGTTCGATGAGGCCCAAAGAGGGTCCCGGGCGACCCACCGGAACCGACGATTGAAGACTCAGGTGGAGGGAATAAATCAGTCAGAGGTCCTCTTGCACCGTTTGAGGAACCGCTGAGATAATGCGGGTGTCTAAGTCGGTCAGAGACCACGAACACCGAACAGTCGGTTCCACGTCCGTCTGGGTCCTTGAGACCCATTTCCCAAGCAGAAACGCGGTCGGGGTTCGCGATTTGCAATTTTCGGGGTCCCTGAGACAATGAGAGGCTCCTGTATGGGCTAGGGGCCACAGCGCCGAACAAGGGTCCAATGGTGGCAAACGGCCCCGAGTCAGAGTGGCGTTTGATGGGGGCCAGAAGAGGGGGCCGACGGGTTTCTCGAGACCAAAGATCAAGCGCCCGATGGGATGACTCAGGAGCCTGAAGGGCTGGCTGTAGGTCACACGAAGGACCCGTCCTTAGGGCTGTGACCTCAAATGTCGGTGAGATGATCGCTTGCGCCGATAAGGACTCGAGACAGAGCGTTCCTCTATTTCGGCCAGAGATCACGAACAACGAACAGCCGGCTCCGTGTTGGCCTGAGGTCTGGGGACCCATTTCCCAAGCAGGGATAGGGCCCGGACCGCGCTTTACGTTGGTCAGGCTCCTGTATCATTCAGGGACCCTCAGTGCTTAACAGGGCATTCTGTGTCCACAAGGGGCCTCGAAGCAGCCAGGGGAAGGTTTGCTCAACAGGGAGGGTGGCGGGAGCCCGAATGGCAGAGGGTCTTTTGCGTTGGTCAGGGCCTTTTGACAAGTAAAGGAAACATAAGGACTTATGATGAGTACTCACAATGAGGTAATAGAAGGGTCCTGTGCCAGTCAGGGCCCCCAGTACCAAACGGTGGGCCCTCCAGCCCTAATCCAGCATTGGCACGTTAAGGCCACCTGGTCTATGTGCCAATTATTTGACCACTTTTCAGTGAGCACGAATGTTGTTGCATTAATGATGGTTCATGCATCGAACCGGCATCAACTGCGCGGGTCAGGAGGCCTCCCGCGCCTCCCGCATCAGGGAGCGGACCGATGTGATATGATGTACCCCTCTAAGGGCTCCCGCATCAGGGAGCGGACCGATGTGATATGATGTATCCCTCTAAGGGCTCCCGCATCAGGGAGCGGACCGATGTGATATGATGTATCCCTCTAAGGGCCTCTGAATCTGCCAGGGGATGCCGTCTCGTGTCGCCTGAATGAAGGCTGGAGGACACACCGAGGTGGGACAGAGTGGCCCTTCAGCCTTCACTTCACTTTTTCATTTAATGGCTTAATAGTAGATAAGTGTCAAGGTAAAATTATCTAAGAAATGAAAGGGGAGCAATAGCCAACAATTACATGGACTTGTGTTCAAGGTCGGGGTGTACTTTCCTACCTAACGTTAGAAAAAATCATAGTACACTATTCGTCGTGTTTAAGGCATGACATATCGTAAATAATCTCAAAACAGGTAGAATCATGCTCCTACCTTCGAATTTCAATAACTTCGATGGCGGGCCCCCGAGCGCCGCGCGCACCGCACCGCCTGGACTCCCCAGTGCCGTTTCCGCGTTGCCGTTGCGTAAATACAATATTTCTGCGTACCAAGAACTGTACAAAATGTACGGGACCAAAGTAAACCATTCGTCATGTTTAAGGCAGGACATATCGTAAATAATCACAAAACAGGTAGATTAATGATCTTAGCTTCAATTTTTTTATAATTACGATGGCGAGCTCCCGAGCGCCTCACACACACAGCACCCGCAACACCGGCGCCATTAGTGCTCGGGTCACAACATTACTGCGAACCATAAAAATGTACCGGGACAAGGTAGCAAGAATCCATGAAATTTGATCCTCGACGCCAACGGGACCATGGGTTGCAGGGGGATTGGGTGGGGAATGTAAAGCAAAATGAGAACATGGCAGCTAAATAAAAGCTCACTATATGGCACCTATATATGGCATGGAACATGGATGCCAATGAGATGCTGGGTTGAAGGGGATATAGGGTGGGGAGGTTAGGTTAGGTTAGGTTAGGTTAGGTTAGTTAGGTTAGGTTAGGGTAGGGTAGGTCAGCTTAGCTAAGCTTAGGTTCTGGTCTATTCTCAGGTTAGGTTAGGTTAGGTTAGGTTAGGTTAGGTTAGGTTAGGTTAGGTTATGTCAGGTCAGGTCAGGTCAGGTCAGGTCAGGTCAGGTCAGGTCAGGCTAGTTTAGCTTAGCTTAGCTTAGGTTCTGGTCTATTCTCAGTTAGGTTAGGTTAGGTTAGGTTAGGTTAGGTTAGGTTAGGTTAGGTTAGGTTAGTTTAGGTTAGGTTAGGTTTGACTAGTTTGGGATATGTTCTGGACTATCCTGGCCTGCGTGTTTTATAAACGTACCTAAACTCGATAAGAAACGATTTTGGTTGCTTTATTATTGTTACCTTGGTCCCGTACATGTTTATATGGTTCTCGATAAGCAGAAATATTGTGCTTTCGTCACCAACGCAGAAAGAACGGCGCTTGGAAGTCGAGGCAGTGCGGTGCGGGGGCGTGCGGCGCTCGGGAGCTCGCTATCGTATTTATTAAAATCTCGAGGGTAGGAGCATGATTCTATCTGTTTGAAATTATTTATGATATGTTCCGCCCTTAACACGGACGAATGTTTACCATTGGTCCCGTACATTTTGTAGGGTTCTTAGTAAGGCAGAAATATTTGTATTTACGCAACTGCAACGCATAGAACCGGCGCTGGGAGTCCAGGCGGTGCGGTGCGTGGACCCGCCATCGAAAGTATAGAATTCCGAAGGTTAGGAGCATGATTCTCCCTGTTTTGAGATTATTTACGATATGTGCCGCCTTGAGCACGACGAATGGTGTGTAATGATTTTTTCTAATCTTAGGTAGGAAAGTACACCTACACCGTATTCAACATTAAGTGTTCACCCGCATTAAATTGAACTGAATTTTTAACTACTTTACATTAAAAATGCTTTGAAGGCATTCTTTTCTGAATCTTATGTAGGACATCACAATCTATTGGAACAATGACTCTCCATGCACTAAAATATCTGGTGACCATGCATCAAACTCTGAGTGCTGATTTAAGGTGTGCATACTAAATTTGCTGTTGCCACGGCTGCTGCAAGTATGCTCAGTGCATCACTTATTTTGCTCAGCATGGCTCCCCCAGCAGTGGGGAGGTGGAAGGATTGGAGATTCTCATTGGCACTCACTAACCTGCCTATTTGCCCATGGCTGGAATGTCAGCTGGTGGTAATGACCGCTCAAGGTAAGATAAAATCAGACGGTCGGATAAAGTATGTCACGCAATGTGGCACACTGCACTTTGGCCACAAAATTCTGCCGCAGCACGCATATTTCACTATAGATGGTGGAATCAGGTTTACACAAAAACACGGATTGGCGTAAACTCTGACACCAGTGATTCACCCAAATAGAAGTTGAGATCAAATTTTAAAACGGTTTAACATAACTGATATACGCCTCTTACATGAACATACTTATGGTGCACATTTGCCTGAACAAATCCTGACCCTAAACGGCCTATCCCTCTTCCGCCGCCCTTACCCTCTCAAGTTAAAAATGCGGCACATAGCCTTGATTTAGCCCACGCGTGTTTGACATTAGTGAGCCGCAACTGCAATAGAATCAAGTACTTTTTAATAAAGTGACGTCCTTTTAAATTAGGAAATATAAGATTTTCAGCACATTTTTAGATGAATGCTGGGCGTGCAGTAAGATAAGAAATGCTCTTCAGCAAGCTGGCGCAAAATAATATTATAAACCAACAGGTCTCGGAAGAGAGCCACAGAAAATTCTGCTTTGTTAGGTTCAACAAAAACATCGTTATGATATCTCAAGTAAAAGATAATATCTCCCCCCAAAGTAGAGTGATATATGGCGCTTTTGCGGATAAGCACCTGTTTCAGTACAGCCATCTCCCCTCTGACACATCACCGCATCAGAGAAGTAAAACCATCTGGTGATTCTCGCTTTATCTTCGCTGAGAGTGAATGTTGCACGCTTGTATGGGGATTCGAGCTGAAGTAACCATTTTGAAGATTATTCAGTGCAGTTCACGAGCCCTACCGTTCTTAAAAACTAGGCCCATGTAATTTCTAGGCTATACTCCCGCGAAAATGCGCAAAGTTTTTCATGCAGACTATTTTAAGGTCACTCGGGCATCCATGACGTCACAAAAGCGTCATTCAAATTATTTTACGTCATTAACCATGCGGTGATCAAGGCCAGAAAAGATATAATCGTATATTCGCTTATATCTGGCGTTTGTAAGCACGAATTCCAAATATAACGGGCGTAGATAAGTTCTGAATCAATATGGTATAAGGTGCAATGACGTCATCAAACCGCTGACGCATTGAGAAGCTTCTTTACTTAAAGGCGAAATTGTGTTATTTGAAGCCATTTTTCCACTTATAAGCATACCAATAGTTATGAATGATGTTGTTGCATCCTTTGTGATAGTGTTTTTAACACCTTTAAGTGTAGAGCATTCCAGCTTACGACCAGAGCTCACGGCCAGTGTCATTTTACGGGGACAATCATGGCACAAATTTTTGTTGACAAAATATTGCGCAGTGAACCCTTGTGGTTTTGGAATCCGACGCAAATTGGGATGGGACTGGCTGTGAATTGTCATGTGCCGGGGTCGTTCATATCTGGGGAGGCGCTGTGCTATTTGAGCTCATTTTGACCCAAGCGATAATTTTTATATTCTTAGTATATTTGCGTGATGTGCTGATCTTACCTTTCTTAGCCACCAGTGACGTGTAGTGAGCGGCAGATAAGCGTTGTCGCTGGGATTCGTATTTATTTCACAAGTTAGGTTGGAAATGTCGAACATGATAAGGTTTTTACAGCAATCAAAGAATTCATTGGTAAGCAATCCTGGTGCATGATCACTCATTGTAGAGGTTGCATGCAATACACCTTCAAGCATGTCTCATATGCCAAATGGATCATTGTGGTTAATAATGTGTTCATTGTAGGGTGTGTATACATGATTCAAAATGGAGGGTAGTAACACATCAGGCTCATACATCTCCTCAAATGTATTGTGGTCACACACCAGGCTCATACACCCTCTAAATGAAGGCTGGCTACTCAGCAGACTTAAGCACCCCCCAAACATGCTAGAAGCTGGTATAAAATTGTGACCAGGTTTTCTAGATATCTTCAGTGACTGCCAGTATGCCTCCAGTGATACCCTACCAGGCCACTACAGGGACTATGCATGGTTAATGCCAGCACAAGGCTGATATGTGAGGGCATTACTAGCATGCATGCAAATATTGTCCTCCTTTCTTAGCAAGCTGTTGCCTTTGTGAGCAGTGTTGATGCAGTTAATTACATACTTATACATTGTCTTTTTCAAGCCTCATCAACTTATAAGAGCAAGAAGTAGGAACTTGTTACAGGACTTATCTAAATGAGTGTCAATTTGTACACCACATGATATTGCTGTTATATGCCAAGGATAGGAAAATGCATACTCTGTATTAGTGAGTCAAAAAGGCAAACTTGTCAGGGATGCAGCTAGGGAAGGGGCAGGGTGGATTTTATGACAATTGAATAACTCAACAGCTATATATTCACATGGTTACATTTCCCAGTGTTTTGTGACAACCCTATGATGAAATTTTGGTTTTGAATATTGCAGTTATGCAAGTGATAGTTCAAATGCATGTAACATTTTAATCCTGGCTACTGTTGCCCCCAGTGGTCTCTCTGAGGTACAAACTAGTGTTGGTGCTGATCTGGCACATTTTGACCATATCTTTTATTCATAATTCAGTATTACACAATCAGCCTGAGTTACAGGTACCATAGCATGACTTCTCTTTATAGTACAAGTCATGCAATCTTCTGAGTCAATTTTCATCAGTCTTGACACTAAATAATGATGGTGTATTCCAACATTTGTGGACAGTGTGTATCCATGCTTGAAATGGTTATGTATTCTACAGACATTTATTGTGTTAGTCCTACCTACACTTTCTTCTTGTGCTATAGGCTGACATGATGCCTCATTTTCAACCTTATCATTTCTTAAGTTCTAATGTCATAGTACAACTAATGTTAGCACATGAATTCATAAGTCCTAGTGGTGGCAAATTGCTTATTTAAGCCTTGAACTGCCACAGTGATTTGTATTCCTCTTGCTATCCTGGCTCATGATCTTGTTCCTTAATGTCACATAAAAGTGTGTAGCATCATTACTGGTGAATTTTAAGGAGCAGTACTTGGTGGAATTTAGATGATGATGCAGTATTTTGGTTGTCATGCAGGGCCACCTGTCAACAGCTACCAGAGTGCATGCTGTCCTTGCCAATGAGGCCTGTGACCTGGACTCGGCAGCTTCAACATTGGTATATGCATACCTTTTGGGCTCAATGGACTCTGATACACTTGTGCTGCCTATTCTGAACATTGCTGAGGATGAGTACCCACTCAGAACAGAAGTGGCATTCTTCTTCCACAAGCTTGGGATCAAGAAAGATCATCTTGTCTTCAGGTAACAAGTTATATGCTTAGCAAACACAGAGTGCACAAGCTTGGGAAACTTAGGTCTTGTTTTTCTTTTGCCACAGGGTATATGACTTTGAGCACTCATTATACAGATGGTGATGAGACAAGCAGACTGAGTCTGGAATTGGTTTTGTGTATGGTCATGTTGAAATTTTAGTGTTGGTAATAGCTCATCAACATTTTTCTTTCACCAATGAACAATTTGATCAGTGATATTTTCCATCTTGGTAATGAGATGCTCAAAGGTATCCGAAGATCATTTGCTGAGTTGCCATGTGTGTTCAAGGACGTGGCTTGTCTTAACATCAACATTTTTGTCCCTAATGTGTGGGATGTGATCATGCCAGTGGTCTGTTCTGTGATGCCAGTTATCTGTGAAATGCTCATGATTTCTTGCCCTGATGTTTTGTATGAGTGCTATGGACTATGCAGACATGGATGCAGCAGCATCTGAAATCAGTGTATGGTTGCAATAAGTTTTTGTCACTCAGTCATGTGGAGATGAGCAACTATGTCATCAAAGACAGTCTTTGGCTGCAACACTCTGCCCACAACACTGGCCCTCAGCAGCTTCCCTCGCGTTCTGTACGACCATAACCACCTTATCTACCATGCTGTCTGCCATGTCCACCTGGTCGGCCGTGCGCGATGTCTGTGTCCTCCGTAGCGCTGTGTCTGGTGTCCGTCGGGGTGGCCGTGCCGTCATCGGCCGCATCCGCTGTGGCTGCCTGGTGCACCGCTTTCGCCGTGTTGTGCTCGGGATGTCTGCTGTGTCGGCGATGGTCACGCCCGCTGTGACTGCCGCCTGCGCCGCCGGCGCTGCCGTCACGCGGCGCGGCGAGAGTGACGGTGGCCGGGCCGCCGCAGGCCCGAGGTGGACCTGGCGGCGCTGCACCGGGCCGGCCGGCTGCTGGTCACGCTGGTGGACCGGCACCGGCTGGACGGCCCGGACGCGGCGCTCCAGCCCACCGTGGTCCAGGTGCTGGACCACCACGAGCCCGACCGGACCGCTCTCAGGTCAGTGGCGCACACTGTTGCTGGACTGCCACGAGCCCGACCGACCGCTCTCAGGTCAGTGGCGCACACTGTTGCTGGACCACCACGAGCCCGACCGACCGCTCTCAGGTCAGTGGCGCACACTGTTGCTGGACCACCACGAGCCCGACCGACCGCTCTCAGGTCAGTGGCGCACACTGTTGCTGGATCACCAGGGTCCATCTTAGGTCAGTGGTGCACACTGTTGCTGGATCATCAGGGCCCATCTCAGGTCATTAGGGTACACAGCTGGTGTACCCGTAGCTTGGTTATGTTAACAATCGATGCCGGGTGACGGCTCAGCTGGTGCAGTGTAGCTGGGCTATGCAAACTGTCCTAATGATGACAGGCTCAGCTAAGCCCGCCCCGCCCCCTCTGACGTCATATCCCTGACGTCGGCCGCCGCCGGCAGATGACGTCACCATCGAGCCCGTGGGCTCGTGCTGCACGCTGGTGGCCGAGCGGCTGTTCCAGCTGAACCGGGGGCTCATCGACCGGACCGTGGCTGACCTGCTGCTCGGTGAGCCGGGGTGCTGCGGCTCTGTCGGCGCCGGGACCCCGCTGATGCTTCCGCCGGTCCGGCTGATCGCACGCGTGTGTTGTGGCTGGGAGCTGACACGGGGGGCCGTCATGGGCGCGGGATAACCAAGCGGCTGTGGCACCCTGATATCCAAATAAGTGATCAGCTTGGTCCGGCTTTTGAACGTGACTTCGTCATCAGTAGTCATGCAGAAGGTGTATTGGTGCATATTCAGGCAGGCAAACTGATGTGCCTCTGCAAATATGTGCTGGGAACGCCGTGCGCTGCACAGGTGTGACAGCGCTAGACATGCATGCCATGACTCGGACGTAATGTGAGCCTGGTGTGTGGTTCATGTGAGGCTCCGGTAGGAGCGAGGTGCCTCGGAGGGGCCTCAGTAAGTGTGACAGCGCTAGACATGCATGTGATGACTCGGACGTAACGTGACCCTGGTGTGGGGTTCATGTGGGGGGGGGGGGGGGGGGGGGGGGGGGCGGTAGGAGCGAGGCGCCTTTTGCTCGCTCGCGAGCTCGCCAGCACCGTCTCCCCCGCTGGTGCCGCATGGGCAGCAGATAAGACGCTCCTCACGCACGGACGAAAGTGGTGGTGGTGGGGGGGGGGGGAGGGGGGGCGCTCTTAAAAAGTTGATTGTTCAAGAGTGTGTTGACCCACCTTGCGTTCGTAAATCGCGTTTGGACACCTGTACGTGAAAGCTTCCCTGATTTCAAAGTGAGCTGGGATGATGGGCCCCATATGATGAGGGCATGGCTCCTTTCAGTTGACCAGAAAATACATTGATGACCTGACCTTACTTTTAGTAAAAACACGTTGTGTTTTGTCGTGGTGCAAGCACTGCGTTATTATTAAAAGGAGTGTTCCACATTTGTGTGGGGTTTTGCACTGAGAAAGTCATTGAAGGTCATTCAGTGTAGTTCACCGCCCTGCCCTTTTTAGGCTTAAAGTCCTCTGGTTTCTTTCACACCTGCGAAGTTGAGCTATTTCGTGCGAACTATTTCAAGATGACCCAGGCATGCACGCCACTATCGAAACGTCATGGAAATAATGCCATTTCAGCGGTCAAATAGCGCTCAGGACCAATGGAAAAAATATGATCACCGAGCTGTCCATGTTTGGCGTTCGTTAGCACAATGCCTGGCATCAACGGGCCACAGATTGCCCTCAACCTATGTAATGCGGTCGGTGCAAATTTCGAGCGGGAATCATGTTTTGCGCAGCATAGTACAGAAAGTTTGACAGTGGTACGGATGATGACGGATCAAGGACTGGGAATCGAATTAGCGTACGAATAGTGTCAATTAAGTATGTGAATACAAGTTAACTATATGAAATCATTGGCATGCAAGAACACCACGAGAAAAAGTCAGAACACGAGCACTTACGATATTCGGTTCTGCAAACACTTCCGGCACCTCCACCGCCACATATCGGCAAGTCAAAGCACTACAAGTGAGTCAACCCGTCCGCTACAGTGGCAGTTTTGACACGGCCAGTCTGGCAGTGACATGACGTCATTAACGCGTTTAATGACATATTCAAACGATGAAGTATTGAGCAACATATAAACTAGTTAGTGAAATTCGGACATCTACAGAAGCCTTTACAACTTAAAAAACAAACCGATAGTGACAGCTTGTTTCATTATGTCCGATGCTTGCCTCAGTATCTTCAGATGTGGAACATTCCCTTTGGCCCTATTTCTGCAGTGCTCGTCGCGCTACTGTGTATGGTGGCAGTGGTAGCGATGATGTATCATAATGCAGTGTGATCGTGCAGTGTAACCAAGAGGGCGGTGCTGGGTCGGCCGGTGCGGGCGGCGCTGACCCGTCCCGTTCCGCCAGGCACGATCGTGCTCGACACGGTCAACATGTCGCCGGCGGCGCAGCGCGTCACGCCCAAGGACCGGCTGATGGCCTCCTTCCTGGAGCCGCTCTCGTCAGGTACGACCGGCGGGCAGTGGCGCCGCTCCCCTTCATAGTTTGCTGGTTACCGACCGTGTCCGTGCGACCGACCCCGCGCCTCAGCACACTGACGTACGGGAGATCCTCAGGCGACCTCCTATATATATATATATATATATATATATATATATATATATATATATGTATATATATATATATATATATGTATATATATATATATATACATATGTATCGGAAATTGGTTTGGGTTCTTGGGGAGTGAGGATACCAAATTTTATAGTGTATGGTGTAGAAAGCTATCCTCAGTGTGTGATGCTGAGCTGGATTTATATGTAGTCTGTATTTTAAGTGTCTACCACGCCCACGGCCCGGTACTGCTCCCCACAGCCCTTGTAGATGAGCGTCGGAGACTCAGAATGCTACAGAATTGGCTCGCACAAGGGAGCGGTCTTTAACGGCAGAAGCCTCTCAGTTCGATTTATCGATTTTGATATTACTTTACTAGGCTCTTAATGACTATAGAATTTATTCATTCACGGACTCTGCTCAGATTGATTTTTTAAGTTACATAGTTATCTATATTTGCAGTGAGCAGGCGTACTCAACCGATAACAAAAACACGTCCGGAAATTTACGCGCGCAGAATATATCTTCGCCGTGGTCCGCAGATAGAAGAAAACCCAAGTGTTTTTTCTGTATCATTTTCGTACGTTTCTGTCCCCCATTCAGTTCGTATTTCTTGTTCGAAACTATAACTTTCCGATGCAAACTCCCCTCAAAACGTCTCTCTGCTTGACTCATGACCAATGGAGTATCCAAGATAATGTTTGCGTTTTTTTGTCATCATGCACATAATTGTATAAAACAGCAACTAAGAGTATGCAATGAGATGTGGTTGTTAATTATCGGTTTGATGTAGTGTGTTTACACAATGCTGTGATATATATATATATATATATATATATATATATATTATATATATGTGTATATATATACACATTGTCGGCGTGCCAAGGAAAGGTCGGTCCTCGTCGGCCGGTCCGGGACGGCGACGATAAGCTTCCGTTGTAGTCCGCCTGCGACATCTCTTTCACATGTGGGTAGGTTGGGTAGTGTGTTATGTGGTGCTGCTTATTGTTGTGGGCTGGATCATTTTCATTCCACAGTGCCTACTGCTTATATTCTTTTCTGTGTGTGTACCTGGATATGAAAAATGCCTTAGGATCAAAAACATTGCCACATTGCTTCAATAATTTTTCCCTAATTTTCGAAGCTGTTTTGGGAGACATCCAGAGAGAGAGAGCGAGAGTGAGAGCGAGAGAGAGAGAGGATATATATATATATATATATATATATATATATCTAATCTATATCTATATATATATATATATATCTATCTATCTATCTATCTATCTATCTATCTATATATATATATATATATATATATATATATATATCAGTTGCATCATCAACGGTGTTGGCTTAGAATGTTGGTACTTAGCGCGACTGTCCACGTGCTTAGAAAAGGTCTTACATATTCATGATTATTTGATTTATTGCAAATTTGCAACAGGCCCACTATAATCGCTATTTGTGCTACATTACGAGCTTGGCGTCCTGGACGAGATTTGGTCGGATGCCGACCTTGGTTACCAACGTGTTATGCTCTGCTTGTGCAAGGATCGGCGTATCAGTCCCAGTTTCGCACCATTTTCTGAGCATGGGTCCGGATCGTGTGCCGTCCGCCGCTGCGCGTTCCCACCGCGTGACTGTCGGGCCGGCGGGTCGGCGCTAGCTGGTGTCTATTGACGGCCGACCGGCGCCGCTATCCCTCACTGGCAGTGTGTACATCTGCCGCCTGTCCGGGGCTGGTCAGCCGACCCTCCTCTCGGCCCGTGTAAACACAGCGCCGTCTATGCGGTCCCGGCTCGACTCGGCCCGGGCCCCCTGTGGCGGGCTCCCGACACGGCAGGCGCCGCGCTCGGCCGGTCACACAGCCGCCGCCGCCGCCGCCGCCGCCACCGCCGCCCACTCTGACGGACACGGCCCGCCGCCAGGCGAGAGCCACAACCAGCTGTTCGAGATGCTGCAGCGCGCCAAGGGCGACGTCAGCCAGCTGAGCAGCTTCGAGCTGCTGCGGAAGGACCAGAAGACGGTGGAGGGCGCTGGACTTCGGCTGGCGGTCAGCTCGGTGCCGATGCTAGTTAAGGTGAGCCGAGGGCGTGCGGCGCCGAGGGGCGGGCCGGCGGCCGCCACCTGTGCGCCAGCGCGGTCCCAAACACGGCTGGCGGCGTAGGTCGGGAACTCGCTGATGTTGTGGTGTTGCTCCCCGTGTCATGTGTGCGGGTACACTGCCGTGGCGGGTGCCACCGGTTCGATTATGTATTGGGCTAGTTCATTCGGCAAACGGCTCAATGTCGAATGCCGCACGCTGTGTTCGCGGCGGTGAAAATTTCCAGGCCTAGAACTGCTCAGGAGTCGTTCTCCGCAACGCCTAGACGCAGTGTTACGGTGTCAATAATCAGGACGATTGCCCGTATTTTGCCGTTTATGAAGGTCATGTGTCACTTGTTGTCGTCGGGCAATGACTACAAGCAAAGCAAACCTGGCTGACAGCGTTCAGCAGAGCTCAGCCGGCAGAGGCACCTCAGCGGACTCACGACGTACGACGTACCATGATAATGGCGTCGCCTTGTTGCGCCATATAAGCCGCGCGGTCATGTTCAGAGAAATCGCGGTCCGTGTCGCTGCAGCGGACGGGCCGACCGAACCCGCCGGTATGGTGCATGCCGGACGGCACTGCAATATATCGTGTCATGCGTCGCACAGGAACGCCTTCCCGATGTGATTCTGTTTCCGATGTGATCTCCGTGAGCTGTGGTCGGATCGGGGACAGCAAACCACCGCCTGTGTCATGGATTATTTGCTTTTCTTTTTTCGCCCGTGTGTTATGACTATGTTCATTTCTCTTGCTTTGGCCGGCCGTGCGGCATTTTATCTTTCTGTCTCTTGTGTTTGCCCAGCCGTCGTATCCTCTTTTGTCCATCGTTTCTGCGCTTCCTCCATGCTGTTTCCTCTAATCACTCCCCTGTCGCGCCTTGCAATGGTGCACCAAGTCTGGCCTAGGTGCGTCAGCCGGTTCGCGCCGCCGCCGGCAGGATTACGTGCGCGCGCCAGACGCCGTCTCGGCCTGTAACCAGCTGTGTCAGGCGGCGGGCCGCGACCTGCTCGTGCTGATGGGCAGCCGGGCCGGCGGCGCCGAGTTCTGCCGCGACCTGGCCGTCTTCGCCGTCCGCAACGATCTCCGAGACCAGGTATGAACGGCGAGCCCGTACTATCCTTGGTACTTTGGAGCGCCGACACTAACGTCCCCTCCGAAACAGTTGAGAACTAGGCGTGCAGGTGCCCTGGCGCTGGCCTGTGGCCTTCCTCTCCGCGTGTGGGCGTCAGCTGGCTGCTGGCCGGGCCAGCCCCGCTGTGCGTACGGGCCGTCGTCGCGCCGCGGTGAGAAGCGAGGGCCGTGCCTGATCAGCACCCGGCCGTGCGGTCTGCGGCAGGTCTGCGCCCTGCTGGAGGACTCGGTGTCGCCGTGCCTGGGGCTGTCGCGCGTCGCCTCGCCCCACCCGCGGCTCGTGCTCTTCACGCAGGACAACGTGGCCGCCTCGCGCAAGGCAGTGCTGCCTCTGCTCAGGGGTCACGTGGCCGGCTCAGGTCGGTAAGGTCGCCCCCTCCCCCAGCGGTGGGGCACGGGGCGTGTTTGGTGCCACGCGACCGTTGTGACGACCCCCGTGCTCCCGTGTTCGTTGTCTGCACTGTCTGGCCGGCCATTTGCTACCCATTGTAATAAAGTCCTCATGGGCTTTCAGCGCTGCGTATTCTGACGTTTGGCTCCATAGGAATCGGTTGTGTTGTGTTCCTTGCATGCGGAAATATAGTTAATGCTGGTTGCATGATGTTTTGTTGGCGGAATGATCGGCCTGTTTTTCCGACGCAGGTGTTGCCACATATTACCATTTTAGCACCTGCCTTATTGGTCTAGTCTTCTCTGTTGGGGTTTGCACGGCCAGGCAACTGGGTGTTATTTGTGCTGTGATGCTTCGAAAAGAACGCGGTGTTCACTGGCGCACGCAGGTGCTGCCCCTGTGGCTTATTGCACTGAGCGTGGGACACTGAACGCTGAACTGGAATGGACTGAGCTGAACTGAACTGAACTGAACTGAACTGAACTGAACTGAACTGAACTGAACAGAACAGAGCTGAGCTGAGCTGAGCTGAGCTGAGCTGAGCTGAGCTGAGCTGAGCTGAGCTGAGCTGAGCTGAGCTGAGCTGAGCTGAGCTGAGCTGAGCTGAGCTGAACCAATAGAGCCAAGATGGAACAGACGCGGCCGTGCCGCTCTCGGACACGCCCAGTTTCCAGTGCCGGTCCCCACTCCGACCCCCCCCCCCCCTCCCGAAAACCAAGCCTGCCACCCTGGTTACGGCCAACTCTTGCATAAACACCAGTCCCTGGTTCCTGGATTACATAGATTGTTCTGCAAACATTGGGCTCTTATTCCTTTCTTGTTTGCAAACAAGCAAATTATGACTTCCTGGTTCCCATAGGTTCTTCCACAAGCTCTTGACTTGGTTCCTGCGCATCAGAGGCCTCTCACAAAACACCGGATCCTGGCTCACTCTGGCTGGTTCACGAACACCAGACCCTGGCTCCTGGTTCCCACTAGTTCCTTTCCACGAAGATCAGAGCCTGGCTCCTGATTCCCACTAGTTGCTTCACCAAGATCAGAACCTTGTTCCTGGTTGCCACTAGTTCCCTCACCGAGATCAGAGTCTTGCTCCTGGTTGCCACTAGCTCCTTTTCACCAACATCAGAGCTTGGCTCCCGGTTCTCACTAGTTCCTTCACCAAGATCAGAGCCTGGCTCCTGGTTCTATTGGTTGCTCACATCAGGTCCCAGCTCTCGGTTCCAATCACTTACAAAACCGGCCAAGTAGGCACGAGGTGCCGCGGCTGGGCTCTGATTGGTTCATTCGTAAACGCCAGCTCAGACTGGCGTTGGACCATTACTTTTCACTCAAGGTATGCTGTCTAAAAGTTATAACCTCATGGATTTGTTCACGTAATTTTGGCTTGTGTAAAAAGAATACCTTAAGCAGGCCGTGTGGCTACACAATAATATAGTCCCTGCAATAAACAATATAGTCCCTGCAATAAGTCCTGGTACGGTTGTGGTTCTCGCTGGTTCCCTTAGCGGTTTACTGGATTGTGGTATTGGCTGGGTCCTCGTTCTAGTGTTAGGGTAGATCTCAATTCTCGCTGTATCTCGGGGCAAATTGTAGGCTCTATATTGGTTTTTGCCCTCCCGATCGTGTCAAAAACAACGTATGTCACATCCTCACTAATTGTGGTACACTTTCTGTGTTTGAATGGGTTTTACAAGCTACATTTGATTTAGGAGCTGGGTGTGTTACCAATATTGTTACAATCCATTCCGAAAAGTATTTTCACACGCTTCAGAACGGCCTTGTAGAAACCCAGATTAGTGTTGCGAACGTGGGTGGTCGTCATAGCCACTACATGAAAAGGGGCATCCGCAAAATGAAACCACATGGGAAAAATGCTTCGTTTGATTTGATGCATAGCTTTCCTTTACACATAGTTTTGAGTAAGCCGTTGTTTCAACATTCGTACCAGCAATACAGGCCGATATCGAATGTGCATTGGGTGCCCTTCCTATCAGTTATCTGGACGGGTCACGGGCTAGTAATACGTGTGTGCGTGTTGCAGGTTTGTGGCGTTCCCAGTAAGCCGTATGTGCGTAGCGCGTGTCCGTGGCGTCCCCAGTAAGCCGTGTGTGCGTTGTGCGGGTCTGCGGCGTTGCCAGTAAGCCGTGTGTGCGTTGTGCTGGTCTGCGGCGTTGCCAGTAAGCCGTGTGTGCGTAGTGCGGGTCTGCGGCGTTCCCATGCGGCCGCACGTCTGCCAGGCGGGATGAGCCCTACAGAGCCTGCGGCGGGTCGGCCGTGTGACATGCCATTGATCCACGTCTGTCAGACGGACACCCAATGCGCCGCTGTCGACGCATCTCGCCTCCCGACGCCGGCCGGTATCGGCAGCAGCCGCGGCCGCGCCCGGCGCTCGTCACGTGCACTGCAGAGTGCGCCGCCGCGGCAGACGCGCCGGTCGCGTGCCCCGCTTTACACAAATGGCGGCGCCTGCCGCAGCAGGCGGCGGGCCGGGCCGCCGGTGGTGATCGGCGCCGATCTGGGCTGTGACCGCCGCCGGCCGAGAGTGACGAGCGTGCGCGCACCGCCGGGGCGCGAGTGTCGCCAGCACGGCGGAGCTGCGCCGGCGGCCGGCGCTCTCGCTCGTGCCCGTGAGGGAGAGAGCCGGCGCGGCGCCGGGCCGGCTGCCGTGTCCTTGGCACGTCACCGCTCCTGCGGATGACGAGCGCCCTGGCGGCAGGATCTCTGGCTGTGCGCCAGCGTCCGGCAGTCCGCCGGCAGCCACGCGACTGCTGCAGCGATGCGGCGCGGCACGGGACGAGGCAGCGCACAAATTTACTCATCGGCGTGCGCCTGGGAGTGGGCTTGCTTGTTTGGCAGGGGCACAAGCTGATCGGGCAGGGCCCGGCGCTGGAGTCGTCCGGTACCCGGGGTCTCCACACGGGCCGTTCGATCCCATTTGCGTGCGCAATCGTTTTGGATGGCTATACCCGCGCAGACGCCTGGCGACGAGATGATCCGTTGACCGCGCGCCGGGAAAGTTTGGCTTGCAACAGTTCCGCGCCTCCCGTCGTCACCTGGTGTGTTTATGTGGTCACTGTACCGCATGCCCCCCAGTTGCATCAGTTCCCTGGCCCCTACAGTGTGTCCGCTCGGAGGCTGAGGGTGACACGGCACGCTGTCCTGCCGCACGCGGCTAGCACGACTTGTCCGGACTGCTGCCGGTGGTCCGTGACCCTGTGCTGCCTCAGGCGGCTCTGCTGACCTATCGCCGGCCGCTGGTGGTGGTCCGTGACCCTGTGCTGACTCGGGCGATTTTGCTGACCTGTCGCCGGCTACTGACGGTGGTCCGTGACCCTGTGCTGCGTCAGGCCGTTCTGTTGACCTATCGCAGGCTATTGACGGTGGTCCGTGACCCTGTGCTGCCTCAGGCGGTTCCGGTGACCTGTCGCCGGTGGGTCGGCCGGCTGGCCGAGCGCCGCCGCCGCCGCCCGTCACCTATAGCGGACTGCGCTCAGAGCTGCCGGCCGACGTCCGGCCGCCGAACGGGATCGACCTCAGCCTCTGCGCCCAGGCTGTCACTCTGCTGGAGCCCACCAGCACGGTAGGAGTGCCGGGCGGTCTGCCGGTGTCCGCGTCACCCTCCGCTCAGAGGTGTGGTCTGCCGGTGTCCGCGTCACCCTCCGCTCAGAGGTGTGGTCTGCCAGTGTCCGCGTCACCCTCCGCTTAGAGGTGTGGTCTGCCGGTGTCCGCGTCACCTTCCGCTCTGGGGTGTGGTCTGCCAGTGTCCGCGTCACCCTCCGCTCTGAGGTGTGGTCTGCCAGTGTCCGCGTCACCCTCCGCATAGAGGTGTGGTCTGCCGGTGTCCGCGTCACCCTCCGCTCAGAGGTGTGGTCTGCCGGTGTCCGCGTCACCCTCCGCTCAGAGGTGTGGTCGGGCCGACCAGGATGGTGTGAACCCTCACAACAGGCCGGTGTCAGCGTTAGCCCGCTCATCATTTTTGGTGGGGCAAGCTAGTACGATAAGAATGCCGCCTGCTCCTCCGGCGTCTACATTACTCCGCTGTATGACATGGCAGGGCGGACCAGCATGGCAGGGTCCCCTGTAATGGACCAGTGTCCACATGATCCCGCGTACCGACTCAAGGAGGATGTGCCCATTGATCCTCCATCGGTCTGGCCGCGTTGGACTGGCTACCGGGCTCGTGCCCCAAGTCCATGACGTGACCGCGCCTCTGGAACCCCACTTGACCACCAGCGTCTGGTCGCGCCGTCCGGAGCGCCGCAGCCCGTGTGCGCCGATCGGGGCGGGAGGAGCACTCGGCCTGCGGCTGGCTGCGCCGTCCGGAGCGCCGCAGCCCGTGTGCGCCGATCGGGGCGGGAGGTGCACTCGGCCTGCGGCTGGCTGCGCCGTCCGGAGCGCCGCAGCCCGTGTGCGCCGATCCGGGCGGGAGGAACACTCGGCCTGCGGCTGGCTGCGCGGCCTACCTCGACCGGGGCGCTTCGGGCGGGCCGACGCGCGCGTGCTCCGTCCCTCGCTTGGACACGCGCTTCCCCTCCCCCCTCCCCCCCCCCCTGCACGCCCCGCACGTGGTGGCGGCTTCAGGACACTGGTACTGAAGTGGCGCAAAGAGCGCTTGTAGGTTCGCGCGGAACACCGACTGACGTCATGCCTGCGGACAGGAATCAATAGCCCAACAGCGCTGGAATGGGACGAGATGCTGGTGGTTTGGTCGGGTGTGGTCTCGCCCTCCATTCGCATTGGTGCGGGCGCTCTCCTGTTTTTGTTGACGTGGTCGCCATTAAGGTGAATACTCAACTTTTAAAGATGCTGAAGCGAGCATCGAACATGATGAAATAAGCTCACTTGTACCTATCGGTATATTTTCAAATGGAAACGACTGCTCTACACAGAACAGCTTCTCGGTTTAGTTATCGTGCTCGTCAATACGTCACGGCTAGATTACGTCATCGTGCCTTGCACAGCATTGAT